GGTGAGTGTTTTCGGTAAGCCAGGAAACATCTGAAAAGTGCATAGATTGGTAAGTGTCTTAACTTTTGAGGGCACTGTTAGTAGAACATTTATCCAAAGTTCTTTCTTACTTGGTCTCTTTATCTACAGGCTCTGAAAGGAGAATGGATTCCAGGTTTGCTGGGGAGGAAGAACAGCAATGGTGGAATGGACACAAGGCTGGTGAAGATGACTGGTAGAGGTTCTGTTGGATATGATGGTTCGAGGACTGAAACTGGCTCTAAGAATACACAAAGTCATCTCAGACAGACACAAGGAGGCCCAAAACTCTTACTGAGAATTTAACGCAGAGGTCCAACTTATAGATTGAAAAGATGGATAGAGAACTAGAAGATTATTATTTAAAAAAGATTAAGCAAAACCAAACACGGTTGTGACTAGGAGAGCTGTAGCTGTGAGCACAAAGGTTCCAGCAGAGATTTGATGGAGCAAACAGCTGTTGAGCCCGATGGGCCTCGTACAGGGCCCACAAACCTGTGGGCTTAAATGGTTAGATATCATGGATGTAACAATTCACCAATCCACATCGATGTATCAATTAAATGACTGATTCAATTACATCAAGGCAAAACAAAAATGTCTGAAGGGAATTTTGTGACTGATTGAATGTTGCATCCAGTCTTGTATTTTTACACTTTCTGATTATTGCAGCCGTATGGTTTAAACCAGGGGTGGGCATGGAGGACCGTAGCCCTGCATGTTTTACTTGTTTCTCTGCTCCAACTCGCCTGATTTGAATGAATGAGTGATTATCAGGCTTCTGCAGAACTTGGAAGAGGTAATTCAATGACTGAATCAGCTGTGTTGGAGCAGGGAAAGAAGTAAAACATGTGGCCCTCGAGGACCAGGATTGGCCCTGGTTTAAACACAGAATGAGAATTGATGTGGTTGAGGACTTTCTGTCTGCATAAACAGAAACATTTGTTAAGTTCTGTCTGACGTAAAAGGTACCACCTCCAGGGTTGTGACCAGGAAGTCAGACATACGGTAAGTTAGGAGGTATACAGTCAGTTTGTTAGTTATTGAGTTTGCAGTTTTCTCTTAAGGCCCTGTCACACCATGACGTTTGACACAACTTATGAAAACTTTAAAGACATCATCATTGACGATGGAATTGAAAGAATCAACTGGAAGCTTCTTTAAAGTGTGTACATACTGTAATTCTAACAAATTGATAAAATATAAAACCTTTTTTTAAATTTAGGCAAAATGTTTTATAAGCTGGCATAAGTTGTCTATTGTGACAGGGCCTTTAGAGCAGCTGCTAGAGTAGTGTTTTGCTTTCCTGATAAGGCCAAGGTCTTTTTACTGTGAGCTCTGCTGACTGCTGTGTACTGTGGTGGAGTTGATTGGAGTCAGAGAAGATAATCAAGTTTTTAGAAGAGATTTAAAGAGTAACTTACCCCAAAATAAACTTTTTTAGCTGATAAACTGTCTAGAATGTGTCTAAAATGTTATATAGTACTGTTTGATGTTTTTGTACATATTTGTCCAAATCTGTAATATTTGGTCTAAAAACGTCTTTTTGCTGCTCATATGGGTAGAGCAGTGGTACTGCAGGCTAATTTGCATTTTGGTTAATGGCTCTCCACGGTGACGTGTCTTCTCCACAGTTTCGTCACAGCGGCTGTGTTCTGGTATAAAAGCCTCTCTCTAAGACACGCCCCTGCAGCAGTCAGAGGGTGGAGCTGTTAGCAAGCTTAGCATGATCGTCTGTTGACCTGGGTGGGGAGAGCTGACTGCTGCTCTGCTGTCTCTATCTCTCCCTCTCTCCACACACACACACACACACACACACACACACACACACACCAGCAGTACGTCCTGCACAGCGGGAGGGGAGGAGGGAAAAAAAGGCAGAAACACAGCGGGGCAGCTGCAGCCCTAACGGACCGAACTTCAGTCAAACAAGACCCAACACTTTTATTCATGATTTAAACTAGTGATCTTGTGAGCAGCTGCAGCTGTATGCTTTTATTTTTTTTATGTCAGGCTGTAGCGGAGCGCTCCACTCCTCTGTCCTGTGAGGCGGACAGCTCAGCTGAGGCTGTCACGTTCTCTCGTCCTGGCCACATCTCCGCTCTCTAACCCCCCTCCCCTACCCACTTTGATGCATTTTTCAAATTTCGCCTTGGGGCAGAGTTATGTTTTCACAGGGGGGTAAGATACACTTTAAGTTCTATTCAAGTTAAACAAATTTGAATGTTATTTTCTTTAAAATCACCGAATTTCTTCATTTCTTGGATTGGGAGGAAACAGCAAGCACCCCATTCAGACTGCTGCTGTGAATCTGTATGTTGCCAGTAAAATGTTCCAAGCACGTTTAATCAATGCCTGATACAGGGTTGAGGCTGTTCGGTATTGCTTGTGCTCAGGTTTATCATATTTGTATATTTAGGTCTAATGTGTTTTGTCAGATTTGGTAACCAAATGGAGTCCAAAAGAACAATGATCTCAAACAGCAGCTGATCCACAAAAGAATCGAGAAAGAAAATAATAATAGTGCTGCAATGGTCCATTCAGAGTCCAGAACTTCGACCTGATTGAAATGCTGTGGTAAGACCTTCAGAGAGTAGAAACAAATGTTCACAAACCTCAATGAACTGAAGCCACACAGTAAAAAAAAGTGGCCAAAACTCCTCCTTAGCCAAAAGAAATACAGTCTTAAAAAATACCACTGAAAGTAAATTCTGCTAAAAGAGATAATATTAGCTGCTGGATCAAAGGCAGGACAGTTTTTCTGTTTTGACTTTGTTTTTTTTTCTTTAATAAATAATGAGATGGGAGAATCTGTTGTGTGTTTTTCTTCACTTGAGGTCAGATTGGCATAATTTTAGAACCTGATAAAGACCAGTATCAAAACCAACAATTCCTGAAAGTGTGAGTAGATGCAAACACATTTTTCACCTGCAGTGAGAATGTGGGCACCACGCAAAGTTTTTAAGTTGACAGTTTTAACCCAAAAAGTCATGAATCTGACCTGAATCCACAGAACTAGGACTCTGTTCTGTGTTCTGGATGTAAGGAGTGTCTGGACATGGTGTTCGATTTTTTTAGTTTGAGCTTTTATTGTTTAAATTCAAACAATGAAAATGAAACTCTTTTAACCTCAGACAAGAAATCAGAGCAGCCAAAAATGATCAAAACATCCTCACTCCACTGTAAACTGTAAAAAAAATAAAAAGTCCTTCTCAAAAAATTTGCATATTGTGATAAAGTTCAATATTTTGTGTAACGTACTGAAAAACATTAAACTTTCTTATATTTTAGATTCATTGCACACCAACTGAAGTAGTTCAAGCCTTTTATTGTTTTAATATTGATGATTTTGGCAAAAAAGTAAAGAAAAATAAAAAATCCCTATCTCAAAAAATTAGCATATCATGAAAAGGTTCTCTAAACGAGTCATTAACCTAATCATCTGAATCAACAAATTAACTCTAAACACCTGCAAAAGATTCCTGAGGCTTTTAAAACTCCCAGTCTGGTTCATTACTCAAAACCACAATCATGGGTCAGACTGCTGACCTGACTGCT